CTTTTAACACTCCACATAAAAACATGTGTGCCCTCTCCTACATTTAATCATTAGTAGTCTCTAAAATGGTAAAATAAATTGAATTTACATTAGCAAATGAAAGCGCAAATTTGTACAGCTAGGCTCAGCAGCAAAAGTGAATACGAATGAAAGGTGAAAAGCTGGTGTATGCCCTGTGGAGCGAGGACTTCCATGACGGTCCGTGCCCTGCAGCCAAACACAGTCAACATGCCACCATTTTCTCATTGCTCTTAAATGAGCAAAACCAAATTGTTTTTTTTATTTAATGAAATATTAAATCTTTATTTCCCCCAACATAATTTGTAATCAGGTAGAGCAGAGGTAAGTCCCACCATCACTGGGGACAGCAGCAACATACAGAGTTCAGAAACAGACTTGATTCATCAATAACATCCTCCCCTGGTACCATTAGAAGGAATGCATCTAATAACAAATTTGCAATGTTGTCACGTTGTTCTAATTTATTTGATTAGTTTATCTGGAAAACTTTATACATTATTTAAGACAACAGTAAATTATTTTCTTGCTCTGAAAAAATAATGTTTTTCACATTTTAAAACCTCTTAGTATCCTTTTGCAAAAGGAGTTGCAAGAAATGTGACAGCTGGGTTTGCAGAATGTCCATGTACAAGTTTGTATTTATAAGAACCTGGTAATCTGCCTATAATTTGCTTCTACAAATAGAGCTCTTTACAATAATATTTTTTTAAAAACAGGCTTAAACTTTCCCCTATTCATTCTACTTGTAGCAAAGAGGTACTTACTTTTCAAGTATTACGTGGTAAAAGGCAAGTGTTTTTTTTTTTTTTTTTTTTTTTTTTTTTTTTTTTTTTTGCCAGAGTCTTGCTCTGTCTCCCAGGCTGGAGTCTATTTATGTGAAAAAAAAAAATGATGCCTAGTCAATCCTAGTTGTTGCGGGAAGTCAGGGACCCTGAATGGAAGGATCGGCTGAAGCCATGGCAAGATTTCATGGACATTTATTAGTTCCCCAAATTAATACTTTTATAATTTCTTATGCCCGTCTTTACTGCAATCTCTGAACATAAATTGTGAAGATTTCACAGACACTTATCACTTCCCCAATCAATACCCTTGTGATTTCCTATGCCTGTCTTTACTTTAATCTCTTAATCCGGTCATCTTTGTAAGCTGAGGAGGATGTATGTCACCTCAGGACCCCGTGGTGATTGTGTTAACTGCACAAATTGTTTGTAGAGCATGTGTGTTTGAACAAAAAATGAAATCTGGGCACCTTGAAAAGAGAACAGGATAACAGCAATGTTCAGGAAACAAGGGAGATGGCCTTGGACTCTGACTGCCGGTGAGCTGGATGGAACAGAGTCATACTTCTCTTCTTTCAAAAGCAAATAGGAGAAATATCGCTGAATTCTTTTTCTCAGCAAGGAACATCCCTGAGAAAGAGAATGCACCCCTGACGGGAGGTCTATGAACGGCCCCCTTGGAGGTGGCCATCTTTTACAGATAAAGCGAAGGGATGAAATAAGCCCCGTCTTCTGTAGCGCTCCCAGGCTTATTAGGACGAGGAAGTTCCCACCTAATAAATTTTGGTCAGACAGGTTGTCTGCTCTCAAACCCTGTCTCCTGATTAAGATGTTAGATGTTATCAATGACAATGCATGCCCAAAACTTCATTAGCAATTTTAATTTCACCCCATCCTGTGGTCTTGTGATCTCGCCCTGCCTCCACCTGCTTTGTGATATTTTATTACCTTGTGAAGTATGTGATCTCTGTGACCCACACCCTATTCGCACACTCCCTCCCCTTTTGAAAATCACTAATAAAAACTTGCTGGTTTTACAGCTCAGGGAGCATCATGGAACCTGCTGATACGTGATGTCTCCCCCGGACACCCAGCTTTAAAATTTCTCTTTTGTACTCTTTCCTTTTATTTCTCAGACCAGTCGAGACTCTTAGGGAAATAGAAAAGAACCCACATTAAATATTGGGGGTGGGGTTTTCCCTGATACCTAGTCAGTCATTTTATAGCCAAATGCTCTTGTCTTTTAAAGAATGCAGAAAAATACTAATTTGCTAACAAGGAGCACATTGGAAAAAGCCATTTTAAAGTACTGAAGAATGAGTAGTATTTTTTTTTCTACTGATGAAAATTATTAGAAAAGCTATCCTGTCTGTTGTCTTTAGCTAGTTTTAATAAGTCTGTTCAAAATAATGGTCAAGAAATCTTTAGAAAATTGGAAGAGGGGATGCTTTTTTACAGCATGAAAGGAATTCCATTAATTGTAGAAATTCTCATTAAATTTTGACTTTGGTTCTTCATAAAAAATACTGATTTAACTTCTGCAGTCTATGTGTTTGAACACCATCTACCTGAGACAGGGACCCAAGCATCCCTTCATCGTCAAAGGCCAAAATTGGATTCAAAGGAATTTCTGGGCTCTTACTGTTGGTGACATCTAATCTGGATGGTTTCAAACCAATGGGTAAATTTATAATTTCTTCAAAATTTTCATTCTGAACAGATACTCCATTTTCATTTGGTTTTCCAAATTGGGGGTGCTCTCCACAGTCACTTTTGATTGGTGTGAGGTAACCACATATGGGCTGGCAACTGGTTCTCCATTTCCCAGAGCATTTGTCTTACACAGAAGTGTAGATAGGTCTGTTCTTCCAGTGAGAGCTCCCTTGGCTATATCACCATTTCTCTGATCAATGGTTTTCTTATCTGTAGCTTCTGTTCTCCCGCTTCAGGACTGTTCCTTATAGCAACCCTTATATTGTTCACCAAAGCACAATGCAGTCACATCATCTGGGGACTTGGATCCAGGTGGGAATGGGAAGGTAAAGGACCACAGGTCTCAGGTGGTCTGCCTTAACCCAAAGGTAGATTTCAGTTTACATATTAACTTCAAATGCACTAGTAAGTTTACTTATTATGTTTACTGCCTCCCCTTGCTGGAATGCAAGATCCATGAAGGCAGGGATTCTTTTCTGCTTTATCATCATGTGACTCAAATTCCTAGCACAGTGCCTGGCACATACTAGCAGTTCAATTTTTTTTTTTTTTTTTTTT